TTTTTTTATATTTTTAAATTATTTTAATATGCTGATATTAAAAATAATTTTAAAAAAATAAAAAAATTTATTTTAACATATTTTAAAAAATATATATACTTTAAACTACAATTATTGACACAATTCTAAACATACTTTAAATGATAAAAAATAAAATATTTCCTTTGAGCCAAACTGAGTGATAATACTAGTTAGATATTAAAAGGAGATTAACCAGTAACTCTTAATTAAATGTAATAAAACATGTGGTATGATGGCTTGTTATATTCTTATATTTTAATGGTACAATTTATATTGTAATAATGTGATGTGCAGCAGATACATGGCATAAGAAGAAGAAAATGTAATGAATCAATACATGATTAAAAAGTAATGATGAAAAGGCTTTTACTATATGAACTAAACTGTATTATAAAAATACGAGGATCAAAGGAATTTTAAAATGATAGAATTAAAAGTAAAATACAGAGGCTAAACTGAGGCTTTTGAAAATTACAGGAACTAAAGATATTTCTATTGAATGATCTTCAGAGATGGTGAGAATATTAAATTAAAATTCATTTTTTAATTTTAAAAGTATTTAAAAAAGTTTTAAATTAATTTTTTATATTATTTTGCTATTTTTTTTCAAAAATTATTTTAATATATATTTTTGTTTTTAAAATAACAACCACGTAATAGAACAATAAAGGGCAGCCCCGCACTGTACTCCATTCAATCCTAAAGAAGGACATGATCATCCCTGGAAGAAGCCCTGATCAAAACAAGGCTCGATTTAAACAGAACAACTTCACAAAAGCTTGGGGCTCGGGAGACATGAAATTCAACAAGATGTTCGCGGTGACATTCCTGAACCACCCCCTTTTTCTTTAATAATTCAATCGTCGCCTTCTCCCATATCATATGACACCGACCAAACACAGGAAAAAAAGGATTCAATGCAACTGAAGATTTAACATGTTCAAGTCTTAGATTGCCTGAGAAAACATCATCGCACAGCAAAAACATAAACAGGTTACAGCACCACGCAGCAAAATATAAAAAGGTAAATTTATCACGTAACCTGTAAAATGCATTCCTTAAATTATATAACTAAAATTCCAAGAAGCAGCTGTGGCCTTGGCCACAACCATCACAAGGTTTCTTTTGGAATAAAAAAAAATTCCATCCAAAATGTAAATTTTGGTTCAGGGAGCGGCTTCCCCTAAAACTGAATTATTTGAAGCAAAATTCGCCGGACTAAATCCTCACAAGTCAAGATTTTCATCACCATCTAACCTAAAAGAAAATAAGTGACTGAAGATTCAGCTTTTGTTTTAAGCACCACCAGATCCATACTTCTTGCCGAATACAATCAGCTGCAACTTGTCGTAACCAGCAAGGACACCAGCACCAGCAACAGCACGGAGGATGTTTGCTCCAGCACCCTTGAAGAGAGACTTGGCACCTTCATTCTTCAAAATCTGAGAGAAGGCATCAAATGAGCTCTTGTACTTGACAGCTTCACCAGATGTCATCATCATTCTTCTACGAACAGTGTCAATGGGGTAGGAAGCAAGGCCAGCACCATTGGTGATGAGCCAACCAAGGGCAAAGCTAGCAAAGAAACTATCCTGTAAAAATCAGAACAGAAAACTACGTGTTAAAAACCCAAAAACACATTTATTCAACAGAAAGCTTTTTGGCAGTTTAAACAAAAAGGGTCAAATCAGTGATCTGATTTCAAGATTAATAAAAGATAAAGCAACCATCTTGCAGACAATTAATTCCAGTAGATAATTAAAAAAATCTTGGGCTTTAAGCACTGAAACTAAGAGCACAAGATTTAGTACAGTGGAAACTAGCCAAAGATTTTATAGTGACGAGAGAACAAAAAAGCCAAATACATTCACAACAGAGCTAAATGCATTTACTAAGCCAAAAAAACACCATTCCTATCTCAAGAAGTGATTAAATTTCATGTCCATTTTGGGCTGCGGTTTAACCCGCTTTTTATGAAAATTTGATTTTTTTCGCTTTAAAATAGTTTTTTTGTGTTTTTATGTAGTTTTGATATAATGCAGTTAAAAATAAATTTTAAAAAATAACAAAACATTATTTTGATGCATTTTCAAGCAAAAGAAAACTGTACCAACACTACCAAACACCCCCTTCAGCAGCTAAAATGTAAACCTACTTTAGTGGCCTACACAATGTTGCAACCACAATAATTAGACAGATGAATACAATTGTTTCCACTAACCTGCATGCTACCAGTAAGAAGCACTGGCTTCAAGGAGTCGTACATTCCAAAGTAGAGACCACGGTAGACAATGATTCCAACACAGGAAATGTTAAATCCACGGTAAAGCCCGGCAAGACCATCAGAAGCCAATGTTTTCTTGTAGACATCAATGAGCCCATTGAATTGCCTCCCCCCTCCCTTCTTTGCAGCCTTGGCATCATTGGCCAAACGGGTTCGAGCATAATCCAATGAATAGACAAAGAGAAGGGAAGAAGCACCAGCTGCACCTCCTGAGGCCAAGTTTCCAGCAAACCACTTCCAGTAGCCATCTTTATCTTTCTTAAAGTTGAAGAGCCTCTTGAAGTAATCCTTGAATGCAAAGTTCAAGGCCTGACAGATTCAAAATAGCAATGAGCATAGAATTTATTATAAAAAAGAGGTTATTTAAATAGAAAAGATATTGACTTGAAGATGCTAGCATACCTGAGTGGGGAAATAACGGATGACATTGGCAGTGTTTCCTCTCCACAAGGACCCAAACCCTTCATCCTGAATTGTCCGCTTAAAACAATCACCAATGCCCTTGTAGGGTTCAGAGAGCCTGCCAGATTTAATCATCTCATCCTGGTTTTGAATCAAAAGCTTAACACGCTCGATAGGAGCAGCAGCAGTTTTGGATACAGCAGCAGATACTCCCCCCATAAGGAAATCAATAGCAAAGCTGGCAAAACCTTTTTCTGCGGGGGCTTGAACAAGAACAGAAGAAGCAGTTGGTGGAACAATAGATAAATCAGAGGCAGCTGCCCATGTCCGTCCCATGGGGTACTGGAAAGCAGGGTTGGAGTAGTTTCCATAAGCACGCCTTTGGTATAGAGCCGGCCTCTGGAAAGCCCCATCACAACCAAAATCTTGGGAAACACTGGAAAGAAGGAACTGGCCAGCTACTTTCTTCATAACAGAAGGGTGTTGAATCTGATCGGCCATTTTGACTTTCCCTGCAAAGATGCAAGTACAAGCTGTTAAAAACTGCTAAATTTAAAGGCAATAACAAAAATGCCTAGGCCTATGCAAATTGACACGTAATGATACACGTAAAGGTAAAATTGGCAAGAGGCTAAAAACACTAAATTCAGACAATGCACCATCTGTATACGCAGAAAAAGGAATATTTCCGGGGATGATAACTACTGTAGAGCATCATACAAAGTGAAACAAATAAGTTTTGGGTTCTTCCAATAATACTGGGGCGACATGAATCCAAAGAGCCCAAGTTCTCAACAGAAAATTACTAATCAAAACTATGAAGCCAAACTCACATTTATAGCAAGCAAATAAGCAGAAAAACATAAACAACCAAAAGAAAAAAAGAAAAGGCTAAGAGACAAATTATTGAGGCAAGCCAATAACTGCAACATCAATTCAATGAACAGCTCAATTCAATTCATCTAAAAGTGAAAAACACTGAAATTAGATAAGCACGTCATGTGAGACATTCCATGAAACCATCAAAATAAACTAGTTGAATTACATTTTTTGTCAAAACATCCAAAAAATAACAGATGCGGATAGAAAATTAAGAGAGTGAAAGAAAGAAGTGAAATGCTTTCGTAATAAATTCCAATATCATCATGACAAACTCAAATATGTAACATTCTAACAGATCTGAAATTAATTTTTCGTATTGCAAAATTTGGAAGAGAACAAAGCAAGAAAATAAGAGTTAAACAGATCCACCACAATTCGAACAAATACAATCAGATCTAATAAATAAAACGACGACAGTTCAAGAATAATATATATGCCTAAAAATAATGCAGAAGCGGCACATCAGATTTACGACAACAAGCAGAGATGAACAGATCTATTAAAACAGATTGTAGAAACAGGATCTGATTAGAACTGACAAGTGAGATCGTTCGATTTTAGCTTTGAAGATATCAACAAATCTAAGAGAAAACAAATAGAAATGATAGCAAATGAGAGTAGATTTGAAGAGAATAGAACCGAATCTTTCTCTGTGTTTAACCTGATTGGTGGCTGTGATTGGAGGAGGAAGCTAGAGAGAGATATTTAGGGCTCTCTCCTACTTTCGCTGAGCGTTGAAAGAAAATACAATAGCAAGAGAGACAGATTCGTGGAGGAGGAGCGGCTACGAAATGAACGAAACCGTCGCTTATAAAGCAGGGTTTCACATTGGATTTTTGAAGTGTAATTAAAAAAAACAATTATTTATTTTTATCTTAATTTAATATATTTTTATATTATTTTGATTTATGGTTGTCAAAAATAATTTTAAAAAAATATTATTTTAATATATTTTGAAATAAAAATAAATTATGATTACATTTTCAAAAACTTTTTAAATTAAATTATACAGAACAGCTATATAATTTTCTAATATTTATACCCTGTTTTATTATTTATCAATTAAAAATTAAAAAATTATTCATTAAATTGTAGTATCCATTAAATATTTATTACTATTAATCAATAAAAAATAAAGTAGTTAAAATAAACTACCCATCTGAATTGGTACAAACCGATAAAAATCGTGACACTTGAATTAATAAAGGTAAGCTAAGCAATGGAATGAAAAGATGGATTTACATTTGAGAGGGATAATTGAAGTATAAACATTCATAAAAAAGATAGAAGCGAATTGATTGTAAGAACAATGATTGAGTTGATTACTTTATAAGTTTAAGCACAAAAAAATTGATTTAAAAGATAAAAAATCAAAGAATTCTTGATTTTGTGCTGAATATATTCTAAAGATCATGATGATAATTGGTTATATTTGATTAAAAAAATCAAAAAATCAAAAAATACTATTTGTTTGTTTCAGATTTAATACTAATGTCATAAGTAGTATTTCGATACTATAATTGTTTTTTTAGCTATGAGTAGTGATTTTAAAAACCAAAACATCTTATATCTTTCAAGGTATGAAAATAAATAGATTATAAATTTATAACATGTGATTTAAAAGCTATTATCTTATAAAATTTACAAAATTTATTCTAGTCATTGATGTTTATAATTTTATTAAGGTTTAGATGTTGTTTCATTTATTTCACAAGTAATTATCTTTAATGCTAAAAAGTGATGTCAGATTTAAAATAAATGTGAAATTATTGTTGAAATAATGATGTGATATATTTCAAGATGATTTGAATTAAAATTTGAAAATTTATTTTAGAAATGCACATATGTTTATCGATAATTTATGAGTTTTAAATATAGAAAAAATTATTTATTTTTATCTTAATTTAATATATTTTTATATTATTTTGATTTATGATTGTCAAAAATAATTTTAAAAAAATATTATTTTAATATATTTTAAAATAAAAAGAAATTATGATTACATTTTCAAAAACTTTTTAAATTAAACTATACAGAACAGCTATATAATTTTCTAATATTTATACCCTGTTTTATTATTTATCAATTAAAAAATTATTCATTAAGTTGTAGTATTCATTAAATATTTATTATTATTAATCAATAAAAAATAAAGTAGTTAAAATAAACTACCCATCTGAATTGATATAAACCGATAAAAAATCATGATACTCGAGTTAATAAAGGTAAGCTAAGCAATGGAATGAAAAGATGGATTTACATTTGAGAGGGATAGTTGAAGTATAAACATTCATAAAAAGCCTAGAACTTGCAAAATTTATTCTAATAATTGATGTTTATAATTTTATTAAGATTTAGATGTTGTTTCATTTATTTCACAAGTAATTATCTTTAATGCTAAAAAGCGTCAGACTTAAAAAAAGATGTGAAATTATTGTTGAAATAATGATGTGATATATTTCAAGATAATTTGAATTAAAATTTGAAAATTTATTTTAAAAGTGTACATATATTTATCGATAATTTATGAGTTTTAAATATAGAAAAAACTTTGATGAAATTTTAATAAAATTTTTATGATGTTTATAGAAATATTTTGAAATGTGTGTATAAAAAATAAAAATGAGATAAAAAATTTATTTTGTTTTTTTAATTGATCATGACGTCCTATTATGTACTAACCCGATCTAAAATTACAGGAGGTTACATGACAAGAGACATTTTAGTAGGAGGTAACTATTGATAAGAAAGCATGCGAGGTAACTATTGATAAGAAAGCATGCAAACTTTAACGGGATGTTTGAAATCAAATCTTGTGTAGAATTGAATTTAATTTCACATATAATTTGAATTTAATTAATAATTTATTATAATTTTTATATTTGGAATAAAATATTAAACTGTATAACTAAATTTAATTATATTGTTTAGAATGCATGTGAAAATAAATTAAATTAAAAATGTTAACTATAAACCTTAAATCATTTCTAAAGAAAACATGCTCAGAAATGAGAATCATCTAAAAATAGCCTTGTGATTAGCTAGTAAACTGATCATCTTTGTATTTTCCCCTTCTCTTTCTTTTATTTTGACAAAAATCATCACGAATAAAAAAAGAAAAATACAAACAAAGAAATAGTATGGGTTAGTAAAAGGGAAGGAAAAAGACGATGAGAGGTTTTGTAAGAAATAATGTTTTATGTTGATAAGGATATTTTTGAAATATTATTTGATGGAGGATCTCCCATCTAATTCGTTTATAGTTATTTTAAGAAATTTAATTTAATTTAAAATTCAAATCAGTATTATAATTATACAACTCTCTAATAATTTTGAAATTTATAAAATTAAAATTAATAATTAAAAAAAATTAAAGTTTAATCAATTAAACAATAAAGCTATATGAATTGTAATTTTTTTTTATTTACGTGGGGTGTCCGGACTAGCTTGCATGCACCATGATTAATTCTTACGGTTCACTGAATACCCTACAAATCTAATAAATAAATAAAGCACCACAGGATGACAAATATATATGTCAAGACTCGAACTCATAAAAAAAAGCGTGGCTCCTACCACCGCTAGACCAAAATCTTATGAGCTATATGGATTGTAATTTTGAAAGCTAAAAGCACCACGGAATGACAAACATGTATATAAAAACTCGAACTCATGTACAGTAAAAAAACATGGTTCCTGTCATCGCTAGACCAAAACCTTGTATGCTATATGGATTGTAATTTTGAAAGCTAAAGAGGATACACTCCAATTTCATGGGTGCTGCTTTTCTTCCCGTTTTTTTCAGTCAATGGTTGGAAATTGCTCGAATTTGATGTCTGGGCCCCGACTCAACAAAAGGGAGAGCATGGCGCCGAGGCTTTTCTGCGGCTTCCTTTTCCTTTAAAAAACGTAAATCTAGCTTTTGGGGATGCAACTTAATTAAAAAGAAAAAAATAATAATATTCAATTTAGTTGGCCGAGAGGATAAGCAATTAGGAATAACACGGCCCGAAACATCTGTTCCTCGTCGCCTCGTTTTTTTCAAGTGTAATTGGATTGTTTTTATATTAACAAAAAAAAAACTAATTGGCGAGGCGAAATCATTGGAGCCTTTTATGCATGCACTCCTTTACAAATTAATGTGGAATGAATCGAGTATTTTTTATAGATAATTCCTTAATTTAGTTCTTGAATTCTTTTTGGTTCTTCATAATTGCTTTTTTTTTTCTAAAAGAGAGGGTTGGATTCAAAGTTAAAATAACGGGTAAAATAAACGATAGTTTTGAATTTTATTTAAAAAATTATTTTAATTTTTTATTTTTTTAATTAATAGTGGCTTGTTCTTTTAGTATAGAGGAATTCAATTTTAATACAAAATTTTATTTTTTTATTGTTTTGTGTGAGAGGAGAAAGAGGCTCGCTAAATTCTCACATAAAGAAAAAATATCGTCATTAATGACTACTTTAACTATTAAAATAATTAATATTAATGTAAATAGATTTTATTTAAAAAAATAGTTTTTCTCACATGTTTTTTGACATTTAAATTGCACGATGAAACAAATCTAATAACATGAAGAATTTCAAGTTTGAGTTGATTTTGGGTTCTTTGGGATGCATTTTGAGTTTTGTTAAGGTCATTGATAAATTTATTAAGAATTTTAGAAAGTTTTGGGTTAAATGAATTTTATTTTTAATTGAAAAACCTGAACCCCTATTTTCACCAGCCCCTGTCCTTAAATTCCTTAGAAAATAAATGACACGTTTTTTTCATATTTCTCCAAACAAAAACAAGGACACCTCTTTTTTTTTTTTTCTTTTGAAAATATAAAATTGGGCCAAGTGTATGGGTTAGGCTACAAGTCTCATGTGCTTAGGTTGTGTTTTTTTAAGGTCTAAGCATATTGGGTCAACAGGTTCATGTATTTTGGGATTTATTTATTTTTTTAATATTTTTTTATTTTATATTTTATTCTGAAATAGATCATTTAACTCAATCGAATATAATAACTGAGCTTTAAGTTTAACAAATTAATTCAGGGTATTAAAACTATTACTTTTTTTTTATTTTTTTAATACATGTTTTGTCCCTCAATTTTAAAAAATAAAATTTCATTATTTATTATCAATTATCTACTTTAATTATTCTGGTCCAACAAACCTATCATGTTTTTTTTTTAAAAAAACAGTTTTATATAAAGAAATTATTATTTGTTTTATTATTATATAATCAAATAGAAATAATCTGCAAAATAAAAAATTTATTGAAACATGTGGTGTGCATGAATTGCATCATGAATTTTATTTATTGACTCAAGTTTATATATATTTTTTTAAAGATTATTCTTATGAATTTCACATGCCAGTCTAAATTAATTCAAATAAATTTAATATGTTTTTATCTCAATATTAAATAAAAATATTATTGAATTTATTATTATAATCTATTTTTCATCTTTTAAAAATACGTTACCAATATTTAAACTCTTTTCCTAACACTTATTTTTTTTACTATGATTTGTGACATAACACAAGCTAACGAGTTAGTCCAATAAACTATGAGTTGTTTAAAAATAAAATAATATATTTTTAATATTTTTTATTTAAAGTTTTTAGAAATTATATTGAAATTAAAAAAATATTTTTTAATTTTTTATAATTTTTATATATAAATTTCTTCCTGTTTAGGCCGCACACAAATTCTAAGAAATGACACAATACTTTTCTATCTTACACGATTACTTTTTGTGAACATGAAACTTTAAAAATATTTTCTTTTATATTATCATATTTATCCTTCA